TCAAGGAAGCGCAAGAGATCAGATGTCCGTCTCCCGAGCGGCTTCAAGGAGTCGCCTACCAAGCACTCGACTATCGTGTTCGCTGCAACTAAGCACCACGTCGACTACCTCTATTCTCTTCTCGTTGAGGCAGGGTTTGCCACCTCTTATGCCTACGGTTCCCTGGATCAAACTGCTCGTAATCACCATGTTCAAAACTTCCGATCTGGCATCTCAAATATCCTAGTCGTCACCGATGTGGCCGCCAGAGGTATTGATATTCCTGTTCTTGCCAACGTCATCAACTACGACTTCCCCTCACAGCCCAAGATCTTCATTCACCGTGTGGGTCGTACTGCCCGTGCAGGCCAAAAGGGTTGGAGTTACAGTCTTGTTCGCGACAAAGATGCTCCGTACCTTCTGGATCTTCAGCTGTTCTTGGGACGCAGACTCGTTCTCGGCCGTCAGTATGGCACTGAACTCAACTTCGCAGAGGACGTTGTCGTGGGAACGCTGCCGAGAGAGCCAGTCTCTCGCTCTTGCGAATGGGTACAGAAGGTGCTCGATGATGATGTAGATATTTTCGGACAAAAGCAAGTGTCTCAAAAGGGAGAGAAGCTGTACCTACGGACCCGCAATTCGGCTTCTGCTGAGAGTGCGAAACGGTCGAAGGAGGTTGTTTCTTCTGATCACTGGGCCGAGATTCACCCGCTCTTCAATGACGCAACCAGTCAGAGGGAAGTAGAGCGAGAGAGTATGCTGGCCCGCATTGGTGGCTACCGGCCCCACGAAACGATTTTCGAGGCGAACAACCGACGAGGCGGCAAAGTGGCTGACAACGAGGCCGTTGACACCATTCGCCGAATTCGCACTACTGTCGAGAACAAGAGAAAGCGGGCGGATGCCAAAGCAGAGGCCGAGTTGGCCGCACTTGGAATGCCAACTCCGGGCGAGGATGGTGAAGTCGAGGACGAGGATATCCCCGAGCAGGCCGGCGAGAACATGTCAGAGGCATCCGACGATGAGCTCGAAGTCACTTTCTCTGCCTACAACTCCAAGCCCAGGCAAGGAGAGAAGAAAGACGACGCAGCAGCATTCCAGAACCCCGATTATTTCATGGGCTACACACCTCAGCACAACGACATGGCCGAAGACAAGGCTTACGGTGTGCACTCGGGTACCAACTCGAACTTTGCCAGCGACTCCCGCAACGCGACCATGGACCTCAACGGCGACGAAGGCAAGCGTGGGTTCGGTGAAGCCCGTTCCATCATGCGCTGGGACAAGCGACACAAGAAGTACGTTGCCCGCCAGAACGACGAGGACGGCTCCAAGGGCAGCCGACTGGTGCGTGGTGAGAGTGGAGCCAAGATAGCGGCCAGTTTCCGCAGCGGTCGCTTCCAAGCCTGGAAGAAGGGCAAGCGCGTTGAGCGTATGCCTCGTGTTGGCGAGGCCGAGACGCCTGCTATGAACAACATCAACTCGCGCATGAGCAGTGGGCGATTCCGACACAACCAAGACCGGGCGCCTAAGCGGGCTGATCCTCTACGTGCCGACTACGACAAGATGAAGAAGAAGAACGAGGCAGCGCGGGAACGCCAGCACGAGAAACTTGGTGGTGCGGCATATGGTGGAAAGAGCGAACTTCGGTCTACGGATGATATTCGCAAGGCGCGGAAGCAGCAGCAACAGCGTCGCGATAAGAATGCTCGGCCGTCGAAGAAACGATAGGGGATTAGGGAGATAGAGAAAAGTTTACTGTAGAATAGATTCTATATTGCAGAGATACCACAATTTGGGTTCGGAGACTTTACTCAGTCCATTGTCCAGACTATGAATCCGGGATTTAGGAACCGCCCAGATCACCACATGGGAAGAAGTTGTGTAGCCTAGACTCGATCCTACGGAGTGTACAAAGACAGATTGGAAACTTGGCTAACTCAACATTGGAACTTGGCCATGCAGGCCATCACGTTTAAACCGTACATCAACCTGGGCAGTGATCAAGATGTGATATCAGCCCAATCACGCCCTAGTGGACTTGGACCCCTTTAAGTCACCGTTAGTTCATCTGAAATACCCGAGTAGTTCGCAGAATTGCAGTGAGTAACTTTGGGGTTAAATATACATAGAAACTGTCGATACTATCGAGACTATCGAGACTATCGAGACTATAGACATTGTCATTTTTCTGAAGTTGAGACTAGGAGAATTCCCGTAAGTCCCGAATAATCTCCGTATTAACCGGGACTATTCAACGCTAAGAAATAATTCGGCGAATTTTTGATCAGATCATTAATTAATTAATCAACATAGTTAATAGTTAGTTAAATAAATAGTGCCCTATTCGCCTGATAAATTAATAAAGTCTGGACTTTCGGCGGGACACTATACCGGGAGAGGTAGGAGTTATACGGAGTAGACTGGTTAGACTTACTCCATATTGTACGAATAATAGGTGCACATCATTATGATTGGCAGAATTCAAAAATCAACCGTATAATTGTATAATTCGTATAATTGTACAGACTATTTGATCCTGCATGAACGGGGTGACAGACCCCTTGCTGCTCCGCGTGCCGTATGTTCCACACCCCTTTTCCCCTAGCCTTTTATCGGATCCTGCCGAGTTTATATCCATAGGTTATGTATGAATTATTGATATATACCATCGCATACCATATACAGGCATATTATATGGTATACGGAGTACATACTACGGAATACAGTACTCTAGTTATGTCACCCTTGGCCATAACGTATTCTCTTGACGTGAGATCACTCTGGAATCCTGCAGTTCTGAAGCCAGGGATGATCGTCAGCAATGCGCACGCGCAGAGGCAAAGGGCAATGTGATCGAATGTGATCGCCCCGGCGGCAGAAGGCTGCAGCCACATCTCTGTTGGGGTCCCCGGAAAATAACGTAGATACCAAAGGTTTCCTTTTCGAGGGATAATCCTTTTGAGATCTTTTGAACTCTTTGAACCCTAGACCTATTAAGGCCCTTCCCCCCTTATCTTTCTTCAGATATCGAACTATTCGAAAGGTCCGAGTCCAGCAGAAAAAAGAGAGAAAGAACCAACGGTGGGTATCACAGGGAACTGATTATTGCGAGACTCGGTATCACACCCGCAAACTATTTCCAGAAAATACCCAAAAAAGAAAAAGGAGAAAAAGGAGAAAAAGGAGAAAAAAAGGGACAACTGTTGTGCCTGCAGTTGTCCGACTCATGAAGGTCCAAACCCTGTGAGACCTTTCCATCTCTGATCTGCGGTTGACTGTAACAGTAACCCCTAGACGGAGCATAAAAGGATTCAGTACAACGATTTTCCCGGGTAGGTCGGAGAATAAGGGAATTTACGTTTAGAAGGGTTCAAGGATAGGAAGATTTAGATGGTTTAAAAGGGTTTAAAAAGGGTTTAAGCGGGAGATCATTTGAACTGCCGGGAGCTTTTGTGGAGTCGAAATATTCAGATTCAGGACTATTAATTGGCTTAGAAATATGGAAATTTAAATGGAAATTAAATATAAAAGACATAAAGTCTAAATCAAAAGAACCTCATCGGGTTAATAACGTTATAATTCCAAAACAATCTGTGACCCCGATTGCAACCCTAACAACAATTAAGTTAGGTTACTATCCTACAATCTTACTCTCCTATGTTTTATATATTGAATCTAGATTAAATAAAAATACGGAGTACATGGCCTCCCGTACTCGGAATGCACATAGTCCAACGCCGAGGTCGACTATTGGCAATGGCTGCGGGCACCGACGTCGATCCGTCAATCTTCCACCTTGCTTAGTCCTGATTTGGTATACGCTGCCCCTCTCCGGGAAAATGGAAAATAAAAAGGAAAGAAAAAAGAAAAAAGAAAAAAAAGCGAAAAGAACTCTCCTTTCACTAGTGGAATCCAATCCTTTCCCTTTTTACCCGCTCTGAGGGGTGTCACTGACAGATCTCTGCTTAATGCAAGCCACGCCCCCAAAGTTCCAGATAGGAGAGGGGGGAGGGGGGAAAGAGAAGGGGGGAAAAAGATATTCTGTCTCTTTCTTTTTCCAGTATCTATTACGGAGTGTTATCCAACTCAACAGACAGCCTAAGGAGGGGCACCGTTAAACCTATTATTCTCCAATGATCTACGGAGCACAGAGTACCATGACGAAGATCAAGTATATCAGCTACTAGCGTCTGCATTGACCACTACTCTCTACACTTCTATGTGATAGTCAAGTTCTGACTATCGAACGCCTTAAGAACATTCAAGTGGGGGTGTACTTTTTCATTCCACTACTTCGGGCTACATTTCACCGGTATACTTCTCTCCTTTTACAAAAATACAGAAGGAACGTGGGACGTGTGATCAAGAGGTAAGGCGTGGGGCTTTGATATTTTACCTGATCCTAGCTCAATGATCGACCGCCATCCTGCAATAAGTCGCCCTGGGAAGACATGCGTATGAGTAACCCTGTGCCCTGCTGTCATCTAGAAATCTCCCATGCAGCCTATTTTCTGACTCCTCCAATAGCGGATCTCTCCCCTCATATTGATTATAAGCTTAGGTCCTCGGCATTGGACCTTTGATGACCTCTTGCTTTTTTATATTTCTCCCTTCACCGCGCTTTCTGTTTCTCCTAGGTACTCACAGATCTATTGGCTCAGAGATGCTGCATCAAAGTACCGCGAAATCTAGCGGTCTCTGCTTGTGAATTTGAAAGATCTAGGAAGAAACAAAAAGAAAAAGAGGGAGAACAAAAAAGAGAAAAAGAAAAAGAAAGCAAAAAAAAAAAAAAAAGAAGC